GCCTTGGCCTGTGATCCAGGTGGTGAGAGATTCAAGTTTCAGGTGGCGAGAGTCGGTGCTAAAGGGAGAAGAGGGTCTCTCCTTACAGTGTGGTGTTGAGAGAGGTGCCGCTGTCGGGTGCTCAAAGGCTCAGGCACAGATATTCAAACACGCACCACAACACACGCAGCCACATGAAACCATGACACAAACTGTGCACTCTTGCAAGGATGCAGATACGATGCACACATGTAGGCACAGAGGCAAGGGTCAGATAAAAGCACATATCACATAAGACAGAAAAGAAATTCCCCAAATCCACGTTTCAATGGAAAAACTCCTCTTTAGAAATAAACACATTTTATGGAGAAGTGTTACAAAATCTGTACTGAGCAGTTAAATTGAGATGTGAACAGAAAACATGGCCACAGGCATTTGGTTGCATCAAAGTAGAATTTTAAAAAAAAAAACAGCCTTTTGTTTTCCCACCATATTTAAAAAGGACAAACTGAAAAAAGAGAACTTTACAGAGACTTCAGAACAGTTGAGGAGGGATTGTATTTCAATGCCAAAACCACAGCAGTTGAACAAAATTGGCAGAAAAATGGGATGCAACATCTGATACAATAATGTTATCTAATGGAGCAGTGCAGGCTCGTCCCAGTCAGGCACCTTTGTGCAAGGTTTACATTTCATAGTCATACTTCACTGAATGGAGACAGTGGAATACAGCAAAGAACTACAACCTGAATTAACAGTATCCGTGGCTTTGGCCTTGCTGAATCCAATGCAAACGGTGAACATTCACACTGACTTTGCTGACCATCCAGGCTATTTTGGCACAGCAGACTCCAGAATGGAAAACAGAATGTGTTGAAAGCAAGCCAGAAATTCCACTTACAGTGTGAACGCTTTCACCTGTTCTTGTTGTTACTGGGCTTTTCACACCCATGGCCAAAGAGTAAGAGAAGGGGAAAAAAAAAAACAGCCAGGGAAGGAAATTCCCACAAATCTGCAGATAAGCATCTTAAAAGTGAACCTCTGCCTTAACTTCTTGATATGAAAATTTAAGAGGGGAAACTGTGTGCCAGAAATTACTCTCCCTTCTAAAATATCTGCAAAATCCCACTAGAGTTAAGCTAAAGGATTTCTCTGTCAGTAAAGCACAACTTCCTGGTCCATAGATGAGGGTCACACCCACGGATGCTCCATCAAGATGTGTGGACACCTCATAGCACATGCATCACATCAAATGCCACCTTCCTTTAATTCACAGGCATATAGAAGGTGTGTGTAACCTGATGAGAATCACACCGATCTCCACCCTCAGAAACTATCACAGGCCTGTAATGAACACCACAAGCCATGGCTGCTCCAGCTACAGTACTGAAGTGAGTATTAGCTACAGAGACAGGGCTGCGGAGCTCAGGCTGGTCACCCCATCTCCACTGCTGCTGAGCCCTGCTATCCCACTATGGGCCATGTGTAGGCTTAGGAGCCATAATTTCCCATAGAGAGAGAAACACCCACAAACATACTCTCTAGAAGGAGCGCTACCAAAAGCATCAGAGGCAGACAGATGATCAGATCTCACAGTCAGTGAAGCTTAGACTGCAACTTTTACCTGAAACAGAGCACTGACTTTTAGTGTCTTCCATGTTTTGTTTACACGTTTTGCTAAGTGGTACTTGTATGCCACAAAGAACAGAGACAGATGACAGGGCTACCTGGAGGACAGGAGCACTCCTGGCCGACATCCCTAGCCATCCGTGTTTTCGGCATCAGCACCACCACTTTCTGTGAACACAAAAAAGTAAATTCCAGTAAGGTAACAATCCTCGTGATGAATACATATATGATTACTGTGTATTCCCAAAGTAAAACTGTGGAAGTGATAAAGTGAAATCTTTCATTTGGTATGTCTTATTAAATACAGCCCTGAAATCAAAGGTGTTTCCTCTGTTTCTTTTCCATAAGGTTAAATTATAGGTCGGTGTCTATCATCAGTGGCTATGTCACCCTATAAAGAGCTTTAACTGCAAACAAATTGTCCAGCTGCATGCATGGTTCACCCCTAAGGTCATGCATTTAAACAGGCACTAATGTGAGGGGGAATCATTAAGGCACAATTACCAGAAATGCCAAATCTGTGCAACCCCTGCGCACATGTTCCATGTTATTACGCAGACTTTGGGCAAAGTTTGACAAACACTAGGCACAACATAGGCTATTTATCAACAACAAACAGACAACACATACCTCTTCCACGAGCTTCCCTATGGAGGAGCGCAGCTCTGGAATCAGGGTCCCATCCTCGTTTAGAAAAGCCCGGTGCTGCGGGTGGAAGACGGACGCTTTGTCCATCTCCATCTGCAGCCGATTCTCCAGCTGGAAGGTCTTGAAGCTCATCAAAAGACACACGGTGATGGAGCTCAGCGACATGAGCAAGCACAGAGCAATGGGAAAGCCTGGCAGCCACCGCCGGGCCACAGGCTTGGGGGCACACTGACACACTGGCTTACTCTCCACGATAGAGCCGCTGGCTGTATCCATGCTGAAATCCTGCTTCAAAGTTCTCTTAACGGAAAATGACTAACTTGTCCTGCAACAGAACTGCAACCAGGCTCTGGGAATTAACCAAGTTGTGCACTTAACTCAACTCCAGCACAGTAGCTATCGGCAGCGCGCACCGGGTTTACACAGGCACAGATTAGGGCGATCCGGATGCCAACCAGATAAACGGCGCCTCCTCACTTGCAGGACGTTGTTTCCTGTTGGGGAGTATCCTACATGGATGTGCAAGTGCAACTGCCAGTGGGTCAAATTGTTTGCCTCCCTAAAAGTTGCGCGTTCCGCTGGTTGAGATGCGCCCGCCCTGGCGGACCACGTGGGGGGATTGACAGCTGTGATCCTGTGAGGGTTTGGCTTGGCAACCTGTGATATCACTCTCGGGAAACTCGGGTCATTACGCTCGAGTTAGTGCAGCTAAAAACTTACTGTTCACCTTATTTTCCAAACCCATTTTAGTCGTGCGTAACCTATAAGGACAAGTGGTTCCGTGACTGGAGATGATCAACTGTGAAATATACTGAATTTCGTTTTGTTAGTTCACAGGATTTAGATACACGACCCGGTGTTTTGTCAAATTTTACTACCTTAGTACCCGTCTATGGACTGACTAGTCCCACCCTTCACCTCAGCATAACGTCTTGATAGGGAGCAGAATTGTTTTGGTTTAATGTTATAAAACCCAGAGTTAATCACAGATTAAAGATAATTCACAAAGCAGGATGTGAAAACGATTGCATCTCCCACATTTAGCCCCATCTCAGTACTGCAGCTCTTTACTGCCACGCTGCGTCTTGATGCAGCTACTACTTAAAATAACAAGTGTATAAACCTCTAATACATTCATGGTATGGCCAAGAAACACACTTCTGTCATTGGTTCACGTTTATTGAGAAAATGTACATGTTCCTGCAAAAGGTACGTAACCAGTTTGAAAAGAGAAATATCTTAACAGTTTATGTACAAGGATATTCTGCCGTCAAGCTTTTTTTAAACACCTACAATGCTGGATAACTTAGACTGACACAGGGTAAAGGCATTTCTTCATCCGTTACATTAGCCACCAACTCTACAGTGGACAAAACAGGACACATCCTCAAATCAAAAGAAAACTGTTCTACCACTTTATGCTCAGGTCAATTTTAATTACAGTGGCAAATAAACAGAAATCACTTGGAGAGATTCACTACATGAAAGCACTACTTGTGGATGCATGAGACACTGGCTCAGGGACAGGACACAGCAAAGCAGGGCAGTGGACTGATACAGTCAGTTAAGGTCCATCTCTCCTGGAGAGTCAGGAAGTAGCGGCTCCCACCAAGCACCAAGATAAATGACGTAGTGACAACCAGGCCCCGTCCGAGGTTACAGGTCAGAAGTTCAGTCTTTTTTGCTGCTGTTACTGCGGCTTCTGGTGCTGCTCTTACGGTCACAGGAGAAGAAGGGGTGTCGCAGGGCCTGCTCCAGAGAGATCCGCTTCGCTGGGTCATACTCCATCATCTTCTCTATCAGGTCAAACAGCTGCTTGTGGTCTTCGCCTTTAGACACCATGTAATGCTGGTGGGAAAGGACGAACAATATACCAGTCTTTAAAAACACTGGATTAATCTGGTGCTCTACAGTACACGTGTGAGCTGCTGTAATAACCACCATGTAAGCAGTGTACAGAACCGGTCATGCTCAGTCCATTTTGAGAATTTTAATATCGACTTTGTAGTGTTGTTAATTGAATAGAATTGGGAAATGTTTGTGTGCCACCTTTCAAGGGATTAAATACAAACATCTGCATTATTTTCATATTTAAATACAAAGATACATTAATCACCTCCAAAGCTCTTATTTACAACACTTAATCTCAGTTTACACAAAGGAGCTGTTTTGTGACTAAAAGCTGGGCTGAGTGACAATGTTCAGCAAATTAGGCCGTCTTCAGAAACAACCCTCTTACCTTGAGGGGTTTGCAGTGTTTCCTGACGTATCTCCCAGAAGAGCTGTGGGCATCCCAGTCCAGCTTGCACCGGTGAACATAGCGCCGTTTCCTGTACAAGACAAAAAGTTAAGTATTCTAAGATTACAAATCAAAACTATTCAAATAACTCCCTGAGGTGGTTAAATGAGGGGATCATAATAAATTGTGTTGATTTCCACCCAAGTCTTCCATAAACACTGTTCACAGATTAAAAACTGTTATCAAGTAAGTCTGTTGACTGGTCCTTACTTGGTTTTCTGCAGAAGGTTTGATGGAATGGGGCCCAGGACTCTCTCCATCATAGCAAGGTGCTCTTTACTGTCATGAGTCTGAATAAGAGAACAAAAATACAACTTAACACATGCTATGGTAAATGTAAAGTATCTAATTAATTTAACTGTGCTCTTTACTGCCACCTACCTGGAAGAGAGTAGATCCAAGGTAGTACTCTATTAGTATACACCCTACACTCCAGACATCACAGGAATGGTCCCAGCCCAGATCTGAAAGAGACAATTATATCTGAACAACAACTCCACATTCAAGCCTTCATCTGAAGTTTTCTTGCAGTGCTTTAAAACTGTCACTTACCTAAAATGACTTCAGGAGCACGGTAATGACGTGTTGACACCACTGAGGTGTGGTGCTCGTGCTCATACGTGGCGTTACCGAAGTCCACAATTTTCACATCTGGGTTCTTCAACGTGCGTTCATCCCGTTTCTGAGGACAGAAACATGATCATGCTACTCACACAGCTGCTGGTGACAAAGTTTGGGCCTTTTGACAGTAATTCAGCAGATACTCCAACACAGAAACAGGGCAGCCACAGCAGAGACTCCCAAGATACTGCTTTATTACATGGCTGTTTTGTTACAAACATTCAGCCACCAGTGTGGCAGGTAGTCTTTGGAAATTTAGGAGATAAATAGAGCATCTACTCGCATTTGATTTTTCTGGATAAATAATGAGGACACTTACCATTTCAGGGTTGTACTCCAAATCATAATCTGAATCAATGAAGAGAATATTCTCAGGCTTCAGATCTGTGTGAGTCAGCTTGTTCTTGTGCAGAACTGAAAAACAAGACCATAAATATTTGAAACCAAGCTGTTTGGAAAGGTACTATACTTTCTGTGCATGGGTAGTAGTACTTACATCGCACTGCTTGGATGATCTGGTACGCCATGTGCCTGATGTGCTCTACGGGGAAAGGCTGGAAGTTGTTCTCCTTGAGGAAATCATAGGTGCTGAGGCCAAGCAGCTCAAAGGCGATACAAATGTGACCATGGTATTCAAACCAGTCCAGCATGTGCACACAAGCACTAAAAGAGTTAGAAAGGGGCAGAAGACAAAAACTGAGATACAAGCCTATTGCACGACACATTCTAAACTTATTTTTACATGTGGAAACCGCAAGGTGATCACGTCTTTGTGGTATGAGGTTACTATCGACTGACTTACTATTTCCTGTCAGAGTCGAGGGACTTCAGCTGTTCAAGCACTTCTACCTCAGACTTGGCTGCCTCACGGTAGCGGTCTACGTTTTTTATGATCTTCAGAGCCACTCGAGCTCCACCACTGGAAACAAAAATATTTTTGTCAAATGAGGGTCAAAAAGAATGAGCAGAACACTGAACTATAAGGAATATTTCCTGATTTATACTTACTTAGAGTGATCAATGCATTCAACGACCTTCCCAAACGCACCCTCTCCTAGAGTACACACAATCTCATCTACAGAAGATAGAAAGTTGAAGTTAGCAACACAGAACTGACAAATGAAAACACTGCCCTTTGGCTGGTTTACTGCCTGATGTTACATGGATCTTTCTAGTTACACTACTATAAATGGTTCTGCACACTGGCATACAACTCAGTTCTAAGTATGTTACACTGACAAGCCAAAAACATTAACTGGCCCAAATAATTCAGCCTCTAAAATAATGTTTGAAAATAAAAAACCAGACAAGAGAGAGACAGGCAAAGTGTGAACAACAGTAGGAAAAAAAGGTATATATTCTATACATCTCGCTTTCAGCATGTCTCCACTGTGATAGATGAGGTGACCCTCGTCATCATCCTCAACACTCCTGGATCTTTTCCTGCTCCTGCGGTGATGGCTCCTCCTCTGCACCGGAACCGCCGCAATCCGCCATCACACCAATAACCCATCAGTCAGCCAGCACCACGCCACCACAATGCGACATCGCCATTCATTCAACCAGGCCAAGGGGGGGGACGTGTAGGAGTGGATAGATTCGGCCCGTTCAGTAACATCGCCAGGCGAATGGACGGAGCAGCAAATTCAAATTCAGCCCCGTCAGAGAAATTGGGCGGCAGCCACCACATAGTGTGTGTTACAGAAGAAAAACATGGCAACAAGATTTTCAGATGAGAGACTTTCTCAAAGTAGTACAGAAAAAACTGAACTTGATTGATGACAGCCTTTTCTACATGTCTTTCTCTGTAACTCTACTATCACGCCCCATAACTGCCCACTAAGATTTCAGCACAAATACTGGGTCCACTCTTTCTTGCACATCTAAAAACACTCACAATCCTTTACTTCCTAAGCCCCTTAGCCATCTTGTCATTACAGGAAATCATGCTTACTAGTGAGGAGTATGTGACACAGAAAAACAAAGAGATAGGTGTTAAGCTTTGGTTAAACACCAGTGATAAAGACCCTTACACCTGGTTAAACACCAGTGATAAAGACCCTTTCGATTTGGTGGCAATGATAGAGAGGGGGTAGAGAAGAGAAGGGTGTTCCCGTACCGAGGAGGACCTGTGGTGAGAGTGGCTACGTCTGCCCCTTCTATCTCTGTGCCTGTGGCTGCTTC